TTAGCTGTGTCCGAATTCAGGGTCTGCATCCTTCGAAGGACGGATTTGAAGGCCGATTACGTCATAGCGTGGCGACAAGGCCTGTCCGAATTCAAAGACTCCTTCAAATGCATCCTTCAAATGCGTCCTTCTTTTCCCCCGATTTGAAGGATGGGTCCGGTGTATCCTTCATGGCCCACGATATCCCATAATTCATTGCGGGTCAGAATTCTCAACAATGGCGTCAGACAGTGATGAATGCTGTAAGTAAATTTGTATCTATTACATTTTAATTTACATCAAATTTACTCAAAAAATAAAAATAAAAATACGCAAGAATGTACCAGTTTGTCAAATATATGTTCGGTTTATTAAAAGTTTTCATAAATACATTAGTCCGATGTTGTCGGTGATCTCTGTTACCGTAACATTATTAGCCAACTCAGCTAAACAGTTACCAGCTGGCATGGTGACTGCGGAAACACATGACTGTTTTGAAAATCCAACTGGATTTTCATTGATGAATGCAAGACAAACACAGATACATACACAACGCAATTAATATAGGCTATATTGAAAGGTTTTTTTATTCCTCACAAAATCATTTCGGTTGATATGTCGTTGTCCTTAACTGCCATAACAGTGCGTTAATAGGTATATTTCAGTTAAGATATAACTGTAATGTCTTTACTGATAACTGGAGATTTGATAATAATGTAGTTTTTTATTATTGTTTTTGAACAGCTTTCTCTACCGAACGCAATAAAGACTTAATGTTGAAATGTAAGTAAATCTCAGTATAAAAACACTAGTGATATTTTGGTATTTTCGCAGAAGTATATATAAACTTATCTACATATAAACCTGGTAGCCCTAACCCTAACCCTTGAATGTTAATCAAGACATGTCACTTTACATTAATTTGTCCATTTCTTTTAGGGACCAAGGAGCAGACGGAAAATTTCATCTCCCTCAGGGGCCAAAACAGCCACCTGTTCACAGGGACCAAAAATTCTGCGACAGTAGCCTGGAGGTAAAATAACTTTACAGTTTTATTTACCTCTATCCAGAAAACTGATGCATTGTTTTCAAGATACCACTATTCATGTCAACAAATTCTGTTTATTCGACATAATACAACACCTAAGCTTACTGTGCTTTTTGTGGGTTGCTCAGAAAAAAAATATTCCTTTCATAATTAAAATATTTTCTCTCTATTTTTCTCTATTTTCTAGGTCCATTCTAGAGAAGATGGGTCTCCAGGATGTAGTGACACCGTCTCAGGCCAAAAAGAAATGGGATAATCTTAAAAAGAAATATAAAGTGTGTAATATTAATTAATTTAAAAATAAATCTAATAAGAGTTTAGTGTATTGCTATATTTGTCAACTACTTTTTTCCTCATTTATTCTATAGGACTGCAAATATCCTGGCTCAGGAGAGGGAGTGAAAGGGAAGCCCACTGCTGCTACTTGGCCTTGGTTTGTACAGATGGATGAGATCTTAGGACAGAGGCCTTCCATAAGGCCTCCTGTTCTAATTTCCTCATTACCAGATGAGACTCCAGGGTCAAGTGCTGCAGTGGGTGGACAACAGGAAGACGAAGATGGTGTTATTAAAAGAGGCCAGAAGAGGCGAAGTGAAAGCTCTGAGCTTCTTGATCTAATAAAAGAAGATATGAGATTACAAAGAGAAGCAGAAGATAGACGTGCTCAAGAGAGCAAGGAGAGACTTGACAAATTATTATCAATTTTGCAAAAAATAGCGGAGAAATAATTATTTAAAAAATAAACTTCTTGAACACTTTTCAAGACTATGAATATGTCTTTTAATAAATAAATTAAAATGATGTACAGTCTAGATCCATAGAAATTGTTTCATCTTGAATTTAAATAAGTACAAATATTTTAAATTACATTGTTTGGTTTTGGTTCAGTTCATTTTATAAAACAAATTTTAAGTAATGCATGTCACGTTATTTACAATAAAAACTGCAGAATTAACCTCAGTGACCTATTCCTGGAAAATTAAAAGAAAAAGAAAAAATAAGACAGTGTGCCTAAAACTTTTAAGGCAAGATCAGAAACATGGATAGGGTGCTGCAACAGAGACATGTGACTATTCTTCTGGATGGCAAGTGAAGCATCACACATGGTGGCCTGCAGAGGGTTGTGATGCTGTCATTCACTGTCCACTCCATCTTCCAAGTAGGTTACAGGGCTGGCTCAATTGACGACTGCTGCATCACTAGATTATAATCACAGTGATCCAAAATTAAGTAATGGTTCACAAAAATTTAGTATTAAAATGTCATGCTGGTAATACTTTGGTGCAGAGAGGTTTACATATATTAANGACTGCTGAAACCTTCTCGCTGCAGATTACCTGCAGTCTGCTGCAGCGACGCCACAGAACATTCAAACCGCTTCCAGTGCAAGTTAGAAATCAGCGTTTTGTTACGGTAAATGTAAATCAATGCAGTTCAACTGCAACGTTTGTAATTTATAGGATGAATCCTGAAGTACATTAAAAGTAATGGAAGCTTTACGTAATCCAACTTCTGCTTTTCCAAATTCACATTTTCATAAATTTTCCAATCATTTGATTAAAGAAATTTTGATTTTAGTTTCAAATCCAACAGTTAAATAAAGGGGCTGTTTTAGGTTAAATCAACCTTTTTAAGCTTCATATCACGTTTTAAGGTTGTTCTGGAGAGTTGATTTGATTCTTTCATGCATGTTTTAAGAATCGTCAAACAACCCTTCTCCACTCAGCTCCTCCAGACTAGCGGCAGCAGCCATCAGCAAACAGCCGGTGGAGCTACTCCTCTACTGAGCTCATCATACAAACTACTTATCAGTTCAACAGTCCTAAGAATGATTGGAAGTGTAATAATAATGGGATATTGAACAAGCCTCTTAAAGAGACAGAGACCGAATTCACAGGTGCCCAATTACAAAGTTATATTTGATATTTATAGCATTTTTATAACAATGTGATTGTGAAAGAAAACAGATTTATGTGTCTGGAAAACACATAATACTGCCTCTTTGGATCGCAACGCTCATCCATCCATTTAGAATATTTAAATTAGTCAAAACAGACTCATTATTGGTACATTTTGTACATTTTTTGTGCCTTTATTCTGTTTGCAAAAGTCAGGATGCTTAAAGAAGAATCCTGGAACAACTAAAGCTCAGGCCTGCCATTAACTGGGTCGTAATGGGACGCCAGTACCAGTCCCATTAGAGGCCAGCAGAGTGCTGACCGAGAAAGAAGCAGTTCAAATTACTTATTCATTTAAACGGATCGTTCATGATGGACAAGAGAGAAAAATCCAATCAAAGATGTTTTACTAACTAATCTGTTCTGCTTTGATTCATTAAACTTGCATGTTTGCTGCATTTCAGGTGTATTAAGATATTTGTGCCAGAAATTAGACATAAAATACTCTGTAGGATTGAGTGTTTTTGCAGTGTACACCTCAACCCTTTTTAAAATTTACAGATTAAGCTCAAAACTTAAGGAACTGAGATGAACTCAGTATAATCTGGACCATACATCTGCCTAAATCTGTATTTCCTGATCATATGTTTTCTAACATTTATGGAGGAAGACCTCCATTTCTTGCTCGTCAGCGCTCTACCTTCACCATCTGCTCCTGACAAGGAAAACTCTAGATTTGATGCTTTCCCTTCGAGTCCATCCCAGATTCGTCCCTGTCATTCCCCGTCTCTGCCTCTCGCTCCGGCTTTCATCCGTCTGGCAGGATCCGTCTGCCGCAGAGAGCTGGAAGCAGCAGGGAGCCGGCATGGAGATGGAAGAGCAGAGACACGGATCGCCTTGGGGTTCGTTTCCAACTCTGCTCTGTTCACCAGCTCCGTCCCATCACGTCTCCACCTCACTGGATTCATCTGCTTCCTCATTTTACTCCCATTAAGTCTCAGCTTTGTGTTTGCTGGTTTTGTATCCAGCTCATTGTTCCTCTCCATCCCTCTTTGCTCACTGCTTCACTTGATTCTCCTGAACAGACCAGTGAGTGGCTCTGCTTCAAACGCAGCAGGTCCCACTGAGCTTCAATGGTTTTCCTGTTTGATTTCCATTTTAGAGAATTGATGAATGAAAACGACAAAATGTTCCATCATGTTTCTGTTATTTGGGACGTATTTTTGCTAATTGGTTTATTGGCAACAATTAAAAACCGTTTCTGTGAATAATATCACAAAGGCTTTTAAAACAATATAGTGATTGTTTCCGTTTCGTCAAAGGAATCTTGGTTTCATCAAACCATAACTTTTCTTTTGGAGGAAACGTCTTCAATCTTTGAGCCCTTATCTTTTGTCCAGATAAATGGGAACATAAGGAACAGGACAACCAGCTCTCGTTTGACATTACAAACTAAAAAACACATCTCACCAAATATGTTTGGTCTAGTTTCTACTGCAACTATCTTGACATATTTGCTAAATACCATGCTAGTATAGTGCTTTAGCATTAGCCCTTGCTAAATATCATGCTAGTATAGCGCTTTAGCATTAGCTTCTGCTAAATACCATGCTGGTATGACGCTTTAGCATTAGCTTCTGCTAAATACCATGCTGGTATGACGCTTTACAGTTAACAGAACTAACATTTTAATGGTTGCTGTCCACCTCTGCCTGTTTTAATAAATTACTCCCAAGGTCAGTGTTTCGGGTCATTTTTTAACCTTCACAGTGTTCAAGCTATCATGCAATAATCAGATTCATCTTTAATAGCTTTTATTAAGTTTTTTTGTGTTTGTCCAAGTCCTGTGTGTCAAACTACTTTTGTATTTCAAACTCAACGCACCAGGATAATGACTCCTCATTGACTGTATGCGTGAAAGCAATAGAAAACTTAACCTAAATGTGTGTGTCCTTCATTTAACCAGAAAATTCACTCAGTCAGATTAAAAACGTCTTTTCTAAGAGTGACCTGAGCAAGACAGCAGCATAAAACACAAAACCGATCCCAAAATTCTAGTTGTGTATTTTCCTGTGATATAGCATCCCTTTAAAAACCAGAGAAAAAGTGATTTTTTTTTTAATTGAAAAAAAAAAGCAATAGATTTTACACTTAGGACTCCAAAATTTGTCCAGCATTTACATCGACTGCTATGAAGCTGCACTTTCCAGTTTAAAAGTTTATTATTGTTTTGCTAAAACTAATATACTTCATATAAACCTCATTCGGTGAATAAAGTGAGAAGGTCAGACGCCGGGTGGATAACTGCTCACTTACTTTCATCTTACAATATGGTCACTGAACTGACATTTAAAAACAATTTGCTATCCAGTTGGAGCAAATTAGATGAGAAATTTAACATTTAGTTCATTAAACCTACTCAATGGAAAACTGCACAGTGGGGCCATAAAACCGGCAGCACAGCCATCAGGGCACCATGTAAGAGAAGAACGTATACACTGACATTTAACGTCCAGCCTGGAAATGAAGGCTAATTATGCAAAAACACAACCGCTAGCTCAGTCCATTACTCCGCCGCAGTGTTTAACAACAAAACAGGCAAAAGATCAAGCCTAGCGGGGAAGCAGCAGCCCTCCAGACATGGAAACACAAACCACTTGGGCTCTGATGGGTCCCTACCTCCTTCTGGTGGTACTTGATGGCGAGCTTGAGCTTGGCCAAGTCGTGGCACTGCCTGGGGTCCAGCTCCTCGCTCTGGTCGTTGTCTCTGTGGTTCAGGATGGTCTCCAGCTCGCGGGAACTTCTGGCCTGATCCAGGAGGTCTTTGGCGAATCGCTTGCACTGCTGGGAAAGCTCCTCGTACTCCTGGCGAAACTCGTTCTCCACCTGGAACGTGGGACATTTCATGTTACACGAGCAGCGGGGTTGAAGCCGTCCATCATTTTCTGCTTTGGGGGTTTGATGCTGACTGCAAAGTGTTTAATAATAAGAACATGGAGGAGCAGCATTCAGCTTCTATGCACTATAAATCTGGAACAAACTCCTGGAAAACAGCCGAAACACTGAGTCAAATCTGGACTAAAACCCGCCTGTCTAGAGTTGGTTTTCAACCATAATCAATAAAACAGAACTCAATATTTTGATGTGTAAAGACGGTACTTGGCAAAATGACTTCTGTATGAATTTGTACCTTCGTGTTAAAGCACTTTGAACTGCCTTGTTGCTTAATTGAGCTACACTAATAAACTTGATTGATTGATTGAAGGATGTTTTCTGACAGGAAAGCTTTCACTGCAGAAAGAAAAATGTCTGCTCTTGTTATCTACAACACGTGTCAAACTGGAGGCCAGGGGGCCAAATCCGGCCCGCCGTAGATGTTTATGTGGCCCTCTAGAGTCTAGATTAAACACTTGGTGTGCTTAAACATTATGTTATCAATCAAATATATTCAGTTTTTATCTGTTTACTGCCAAATTATGTCAATCAGTCCCTCCAGGAGAATTATCGTGGAAATTCACACAAAATCAACAAATTCCGCACTTTTTTGCGCTTAAACATATTTGGGAATTTAAAGCACATTTTTCTCAAAAATTGTCAAAAACTTCCTTGTCCTAAACAGCTGCCTCAGCCTTAATTGCTGTCAGATTATAGTCCATGATCTATACAGCGAGTAATAAAAAGTGGTTTTTATTGTCATAAATAATATTTCAAAATTAGTGCCACAAACACTGATTTTTAGTACAAAAAAAAAAATCACAAAAAGTATCACAAAATCGTGGAAGGACTGAAGAGATGTTCAGTAATATTATTTAATTTTAATAATTCATTGATATTTTAACAGTTTGTGAACAGGTTTTATCAATACATTCTGGCACAACTGGCCCTTTAAGAGCATTTATGATCATGATTTGAATAAAAAATAAAATAAGTTTCACACCCCTGAAAAACACCCAATCATTTTTTGGTGCCTGGAAAATTAGTGCGGCTGTTACCTAGCAACCCCAGCAAATCCCAGTCTGTCCCCTAGCAACCAAAGCAGAGCTGCAGCATGTTTGGTCAGCTGGTTTTCCCGCTGTATGCGCTGTACACCTGCTGCTGGAAAAGACAAGTGCTTTGTTGTCGACTAACCATCCAGAAATCACTTGCTGCTTTCCTGTTTTTTGTGCAGGAGGCTCCACTTCTGCTTTTCAAAGTTCACATTTGTATAAATGCAGCCATTTTAAAATGAACGTTGAATGCAAGATGAACTTACTTGGATTTAAAGTGACAGAGGCTCATTCTGAAAGAAGCTCAGAACTGACCAGACTGAAATCTCATTAGCATAACACCGCCACCAGATAAAAAGCTGTCTGGGGGCGGAGTCATTCCTTCACAGTGGCGTTAGTTTAGACTCGTATACTGTGTAGTAATGGGAGTTGATTTCCGTACCTTGCTCAGCTCTTTGAGTTCCCAGCCCAGTCTGAAGGCAGTGAGGATGGGATCCTCACTGGACAGCGCGATGAGAGACGGCGACGCCAGCGCCTTGTAGATGTTGAGTCGAGACCGGGAATGTCGAAGGCTGTCGACCTGCCGTGGATTAAGAAAACAAGTTCGCTCTCTAAGTAACCAATAAACTTGAATTTTGTAAGGAACACTCAACACCGGAACCAGAAGATATTTTAAATATCCAAAATGAAACACAGCAACCAAAAAACCAATAAATAAAACAAAAAATAAAACCATATATAAAATGGATCATGAAGTCATTGGCCTTCAGAAAATATTAATGATCAAAATTCATCATAATTTTAATTGATCACTGATACAGTGTACTGTAGGCTGTCTTAGTTTAGAGTGATGGAAAGCAGCTACTTCAATGGAAATCTCACAACTAGGATACAACTGATAACTTTCCTACTAAAAAAGAAGACAAAACTTATTTTATTTTACGTTTTAAAGAGACAGAATTAAGAGTGAGATTTATTTTATTTAGTAAATTCATTTTCTCCAGATCAGAAACCATACAGTGGTTTCCAAACGGAGAAACATCGACTCACCTCTGAACTGGAAACACACTCTACGCAGTCGCATCGTATCTGGTGCGGCCTTGGGATGGTGACCTAGAACAGCAAATCAGAACCGGAAATAAAACAACATACACGTTATGGACCCCTGCTTCCTGCTGGACGGCTAAAAGCTGCTTGCTAACCATAACTAGCATTGGTTTTAGCTGTTTAGTTATCAACATAATGTGCTAAATCTTAAATGTACGCCTGAGATATAAAAGAAAAAGGTGCGCAGTGCTTTCATACTACAACAACTAAGGTCAGTAAAAAGATTAAAAGAGAAAAAAACAGCAGGGGAGTGGAAAGTAGGTCAACTACGCTAGCTTGACTTTGACAAACTAACATGTAGATGTGATGTGGAATTTGGTGTGTTTAGGTTCAGTTTAGAAAATAAAAAGAGGCAAAGTAAACACCAACTCTGACAGATGTTTCAATTAGCAGTGTTAGCTTAGCTAACAGCAGCGGTAGCTAATCTACCGCAGCGATCACTTATTAATAATCGCAAAAATAAAAATCAAGCATAAAAACACAAAACTGTAAGGGATTGAATGTTCTGTTCTTTATGTAGAAAATGTTTGAGAGTTTTTGGTGGCGAACCCTGAAACATAAAGTGGCGTTGTGGTCAGTTGCTATGGCAACACGTCAGCGTGTCGCGTAGCTGACACAGAGAGCGAGAAAAAGTGATTTTGAGTTGCTCTTCAATAGTTTTTCCCCTTTACTGTGGCGCACTGCACTAAATTAACAACACAAACGTCTCCAGGTTTCATTTAGCTAACGCAGTTGTTTTACCGCGGCAGCGCGGCGACGGACGGCACAAGAATCCGTCTTTTTGTCCTCCAGCGTCGTGCGCATGTGCAAAATTTCCGGATGTAAACAGTAACATGCTGTAGTTGATCCATTTCTCGTGTTGCGGAGTGATTACCTTGCGCTGGACAAGCAGCTTGATGATCTCGTAGTTGTTGGTGTGAGCAGCGAGCATGATGGGAGTTATGTCGGGGGTGAACTCCGAGAACTGGCTGTCCATCATCAGGGAGGGAACCTGAGGGGAAACCGAAGCAATTTATCTCAACAGAAAGACGATAACGGATGATAAACAGGAAACAAGCGCATCTAAAGACAACGGACAAGTCGGACAACACATTAACATACCTGAATGCTCTTTTAAAAGCAGAACTTTATACTATAGTTTATTTCAAGACCAATTTCCTCCTAAACTGTTTACTGATCACAACCTGGAACAACTGGAATGGTAATGAACGTTTCTCAGGTCTGTTGTGACGCAGAAAGAGCTGAATCCAAGAGCAAAACTCTCAGTTTTTTTTTTTTTTTTTTTTTTTTTTGCTTTTTCCCCCCCCCTTGGGGATGGGAAGAAAAAAAACCCAACCCGAAGGGGGAAAAAAGC